TGGCTCTAAGTAGGTCGGCCCACAACCCTGCAGCCCCCTGGGTGATTTTCCAAATCCATTTAAACATCAGCGCGATGTTAAACCACCTGGAATTGGTGATCCCAAGGCCACCCAGGTCCTTGGGCCGGCACACCCAGGCCCATTTAACCATGTGGTATTTATGGTGCGGGCCAGTTCCTTCCCAAAAGAACTTGGCCCGCGGCGTGTCAAACTTGGCATGAACCCCTTCCGCCAGTAAAAACAGGCCCATTGCAAACATAGGCAACAAAGACAAGCTTGAGTTAGTAAGCACGAGCCTCGCCGCTTTTGACAGAAATTTACCCCGCCACGGGCAGACCCTAGTCCTCACTTTAGCGCATAGAGGATCCCAATCCTCTATCGTGGGTCGCTTGGTACCTACCGGAAGGCCTAGATACACAAACGGGAATTTGCCCACTTTGCAGTTGAGCAAATCCGCAACGCGGTTTCCTTCCTCGGCCTCGATCCCCATCGAGAGCACCTTACATTTGTGGAAGTTGATTTTGAGGCCCGACATAAGCTCAAAACTGAGCAAAATCGCCTTGACTGCCGCAATGCTGTGAAGGTCCGGGTGAAACATCAGAAGTGTGTCGTCCGCGTACTGCAGATGCGTCACTCCCCCTGGAATGAGATGGCCAACCAACCCTTTGATGTGGCCAGCCTTGGCCGCTTTCCTCAGCATTGAGGACAGCGCGTCCACAACGAAATTGAACAGGAGGGGGGAGAACGGGTCCCCTTGCCTGAGGCCACGCTTATTCCGGAAGAAGTGCCCTACTTCTCCGTTCACCGAGATAGCAGTTTGTCCTCCCGAGACCAACTGCATGACGCGGTGCACCCAAACCACAGAAAACCCCCGGCCAAGTAACACCTGGCGTAGGAAGTTCCAATTCACCCGGTCGTAGGCCTTTTCGAAGTCTAACTTTAACAACACCGCCGGTTCCTTAGTGCGTTTGAGCTCGTGTATAATCTCCTGTAAGGCCAAAGGGCCTTCCAGGATACTGCGGCCACGAATGAACGCAGATTGGTTGCAGTGAATCACGCGGTGAGCAATCGGGGCTAACCTAGTGGCAGACGCTTTGGCACAAATTTTAAACGGAACGTTGATAAGCGCAATGGGGCGGAACTGCCTGATATCGTCGGCCCCTTGTACCTTTGGGATGAGCGATAACACTCCAAAATTAAGGCGCGAGATGTCTACCGATCCGCGCATGAACCCGTTACAGATTTCGAAGATCGGTCCCCTAAGTAATGACCAAAACCTTTTAAACAAGGCCACCGGCCACCCATCCGGGCCAGGGGCCGTGTCCGTCTTCATACCCATAAGCGCGGCATCGATTTCCTCTGGAAGGAACGCTAGCCCCAGCCCCTCGTTCTCGCAGTCCAGCACCCGTTGCCCTGCATCCCACACATCCGGAGACAGGCCAGCCCTCTGGTCCTCACACGTCCCCATCAGCTTAATATATAACTCGTAAATATGCCGAGAAATGTCCTCTTGATGCAACAGGAGCCCCTGCTCCGATTGCAGCCTAAGAATGGAGCATTTACGTCGTCGGCCATTAGCGTAAGCCTGAAAGTATTTGGTATTAGCATCCCCTTTGAGGACCCATTTCAAACCACTACGGTGACGCCAATATTCTTCCTCAGCACAAAACGAAGCTTCAACCTGACCCTCCAAGTTGTATCGATGGGCCCATTCCGTCTCCGAAAGGTCCCGAGTGTCAGCCTGGGCATCAATCGTAGCGATCTCTGCCAGGATGGCCGCTCGGTGTGCTTTGTCAGCCCTCCCCAGGTTAGCACCCCATCCCTTGAGACTAGACCTGAGTCGACCTCCAACAGCATTCCAAAATTCCATCGGACCACGCTGAGGTCCCAGTTGACTCACACACACCCTCCACTTCTCCCTGAGGAGTTCCTCGAAACCTGGCACCTCCAACCAGGCCGTTTCGAAGAAAAAACGAGGGTTTCGACGCACTCTATCCTCCCCAGAGGAGTATACCAGGGGTACATGGTCTGACCCAATACGAGTCTCCGCGACCAGAGTGCAGAGGGGAAAACCCATTTCCCACTCCGGAGACATGAACACCCGATCTAGCGCTGAGCGTACCGGATCTAATTGCTTGTTTGTCCATGTGAAACGAGCGCCCGTTCTAGCCACCTCCCTGAGGGCCATCGAAGCGATCGCAACATTAAACATGGCCACCCGAGGCCAGTTAATATTATTGTTACTCTTATCCGCACGCGACCTTATCAGGTTGAAGTCTCCGCCAACCAGGACAGGGAGCCCCGCCCCAGTAAAAGAGCAGACTTTGGCTTGGAGTTCTCCCAAGAACTCCACCGATCTCGCGTGATCGGCCGGCCCATAGACCTGAATGATAACCAACTCCCGTCGCGAGGCCCTAACCCTAAAATGCGCGGCAATAAAAAAACGAGCCAACGTCCCAGGCAATGATCTCGTATAGCGCACGGTTTAAGCCCAGCAGCAGGCCACCGGAGTGCCCAGTCGCCGGAACGTGATGCCACTCGTAGCGCTCCAATGGATCGATAGTGAGCAACTCATGGAAACGGAAATCACCCTTGATTGTTTCCTGAAGCCCCACTATATCGACGTCCTCTCTATGCATGTATTCCTTAAGTTGCGTCCGACGCCCCGCGTGGCCAAATCCACGGATGTTCCCAAAAATGGCCCGCATCTAGATAATCCGATTGCGGAGCCGGACACCGCGCGAGGTGACCGCCTTAGCCACGCGCCTCACCTTGCCACGGCAAGGCGAGGGAGGGAGAGCAACCCCTGTTGCCTGATCCCCCTCTTCGGGCATGGAAAGAGCCGCAGTGACCCCTCCCTCGGGCTCACAGGGTCTTTGGGCAACGCGTGCTGCCGCAGCAGCCGCTAGCGCTGCCTAACACATGTCTATGGTTAGGAAACATAATCATCTTCGATCAACGAGCTAGTCAAGTAGAGGCATACTAGTGACGTTTAGTTTGTCTATGTATTCACACAAGTATTATGTTTCCGGTTAATACAATTCTAGCATAAATAATAAACATTTATCATGATATAAGGAAATAAATAATAATTTTATTATTGCATCTAGGGCATATTTCCTTCAAGAGGGCCCTGCCGCCGCCAGCACTGGCCGGGCTCTGCCCGCCAGTACGTCGAGGCGGCGGCGAGGGGAAGAAGGCACGGGAAAGGGGGGCGCTGGAGGCGGCGCTAGAGTTTTCCCCCCGGGCGCTCGCGGGAGGGAGGTCTCGTGCCTCCCCACAGTCACACCGCAAGTACCATTCAGATGCAGTTTTCTGCCAGTACGTGCTTCATGCAGAACTGTAGTGCCCATAAAGAAGCACCGGCAGGAGCAGTGACCAAGGTGGTACCAGGGGTGGTGTTGTGATGTTTATGTTTGTTGGAGAGGCTAGAGGATCTTTGGCAGCAGATTGCACAGTTTGACAGTAGCGATAAACTGTGTGAGAGATGTTTGTAGCCCAGAGAGGGTTTCCTGCATGCAAACGGAATTTTGTTACAGATGTACTCCCTTCGTCCGTGAATAAGTGTACATCTAGTTTCTGTCTTTGGTCAAAGTTTTAAAAGTTTGATCAAATTTACAGAAAAGACTAGTAGCATATACGACATCAAATTGGTATATTATGGAAGTACGTTTCAAAATGAATCTAACGATGCTAATTTGGTGTCATAAATGATGTTACTTTTTCCTAGAAAGTTAATCAAAATATTAAAACTTTGACTTAGAACAAAAGCTAGATGTACACTTATTTGCGGAGGAAGGGAGTAATGCTGAAGTCAAGTCCTTGCGATCACCATTCCTATTTTGCTGCAAGGCCTCAATATCTAATTGTAGTGACTCCTCTCAGGATCAGCTGTGGCAGTGTAATCAGTGACTTCAACCATTAAATTCGGGAAGGGCTTATACAGGCAGGGTGCCTTGTGATCTTAAATGAACTGCTAGTTCAAGCGAGGAATTTCATAAGAGGTCTAAATGAACTGCTAGGCTCTGACGAATTAAATTTCATAAGAGGTCTAAATTTCAGAAACAAAGAGCAAAGTAGCAAACTTGGGACGAAAACTGACTAGGGTTTGCATCGATCTCAGATGTGCGTACTAGGCCAGCCAGAACACGACGTCTAGAGTTTCAACCCAGTTAAAACATACTTGATGCCTCCTCTTACAAGGGTCTGAGGCTTTATAGTCATTACACTTAGAGAGAAAATACAAAAAGTAGAGATGGAGCAGGTGAGAGCTAACAACCACCCGAGGACGAAACGAGGCTGTCCGATCGAAGATCCCCGTCGATGCGTGATCCACTTAGCACGATAAGTAGAGGTGGAATCCGTTGGATCGAGGAAGAATGTACCAATTTAAATCTTCAGCCAAGTGGTAAGGTAACAGTTAACTGAACTTTGCCTAAAAAACAGTTAACTGAACTTAACAACAGTGTTGATTTCTTAAGTTCAGGACCTGAAAGTTTCAGTGATAACACCGTCTTATTATGGAGAACCGCAAAGACTGCCGTCTCCAAGCTAGTACACTCCAAGCACGGCTTAATCAGGATCTCATACATACTCGTACTTCTTTCACGAGATGTCTTATAGTACATACTTTGTCCGTCAAGTATACATACATTACTAGCACAAAATCACACGAACACCACCAGCTGTGCTTAGGGAAACAACATACAAAATGCAACTCCAAGCTTTATCATCGTTGCGTCGAGCCGTCGAGGCTATACCTATAAACAATCAACCAAAGCCCCCATAGACAGCTTCCTTCCTGAAGCTGGACCTTGTCAAGGTTCGAAATGGGAACGTCTGACCCTGGAACGGGCTTATGCTTCCTTGTAATAGTATGCTTCTCTCATATCCTTCCTGTCATTATCCCAGCCAGGGGATATGTGTGTTAGTAACACTGCACAGTTTGTGTGCAGCAGCACAGGCCCTCAGGGAGTTCCTGAAGCCATAGGTACAGCTATTCATGAGGTTAGGACGGCAGGCTTCTTCTGCCAGTACTGCTCAAATCTCTGCCTTGCGTACTCCTGGTAATCGAAGTCGATGTCGTTGACACGATCCTGTAAAGAAAAGAATGAAAGTTAGAAGATAGCAGCGCATATAATTACTGTGATGACTAGGTTGGCGAACCGAATATGAACTCACCGATATTATTCCCCAGAGTCCCCAAACCAGATGACTCGCGAGCGTGTACTTCTCCACGCTCCGGAGCAGATTCTCCACCTCCTCCGCTTCAGGTTCCTCGCCTGCCCAACAAAGCTGTATTAGCACGAAAGGAATCGTCGGACAATCGAACCAAGATAATTGGGTTTTGTACTCACGAGAAGTGCTCAGGTAAGTCTTCACGAAACGCCTCTGCTCATCGATATCTGCCGCAGAATAGAAAGTTAACAATAGTAACAAGGTAGAGTGAAGGCTGAACGAAAACAAAAGCAGAGTTAAATGGGAAATGCAATACCTGGATATTTACTGTAGTCCAGTATATGAGGCTTTTCCGAATGGTAGTCTGCCGCCATCTCGCAGAAATGGTTAGCGATGTCATATGCAACTGGGTTGAAGCTTGCATACTCATAGTCCTGTAAGCACACGAGGGGGCAAATAATAAGATCAAACCAACTTGCCAACTATATTTAGGATGTCTGACAGTTTGTTAGAAGGTGGGATAGAACTTCAGATTTCCTTAAGAAACTGTCATGACTCATGGCAGGTCGGTACACAGCATATACAACAAGAAAAGAAAGCATCGGTTCTTCATGCTGCACGTACTCTCCAAGACTAAAACTCTGCTTTTAGTGGAGGCGTGACACCTTAGGATGTCGAGTCGTAAGGAACAAAACTGAAGACAAGGTTGCATGAGATGAGAAACTTGGAAGTTCAGCCTAACAAACGTGCAAGAGAATCCCCATTTGCATATTTTACATGATTTCCATACACCAAATAATTAAGACTATAAGGAATTGCTTTTGAATGCATAGAGACTCACAATGATGGTCAGCATGTTGGTCTCCTCATCCATCATGATGTTGCCATACTGTAGATCATTGTGGCAGAAACCAATCCAGTGGTGGTAATCCCCTGAGAATTCTTTCTCCAGCGAAGCGATCTCGTCCTCCAGGCAATCCAAGCGTAGTTCGTTGGCCTGATCGGTTGGGCACAGGTTCTTGGCAGTTTTGAGCCAGTTCCTTCATTAAAAAGATTCATCAGGTTCAGTTCCATGCTTGTGAGTTGTAAGCCTGACAAATAAATCATTTGTGCAAGAACTAAAGATTGTCCTTACTTCAGTCTGTCCCAGAGGAGCACATGCTTGGGACCAGGCATGTCAAGGTTGTGGAATTCCCTCAGTTTTGTAGCCACCAGAGCTGAAATTTCAGGATCGCGCATATCGGGAGCCGACAGCGTCTGAAAAAAACATTTGCATTAGTTTGTGTTTACAAACAGATGGATAGTTTGGCCACCTTGGTAGAAAATACTCCTATCATTTTCCAAGGACAGCTTTAGCAAAAAAGTTCTAATAGCAATGAACCGTATTCCATTCCCACCCCTTTTTGTTCGCCCCAGAAAACAGCACAAGATACTCCCTTTTATTTATGAGCGCGACGCAAATAATGAAGTGATCTGAAGAATCTAGAACGTGCTACGGCGCGCTCTCATCCTCTGGCTATAGCATGACTAACACTTCAAAGGGGCATAGAAAGTGAGTTGGACCATGATGCATACTGCCTAAGCTACTTCCTTGTAAACGTACTTTGCCACCAGCTGTGCTGGTTTTGCCAACTTGGTCATCTGCCTACTTTCTCAAGTCAAATCAATTGCTTTCATGCCATGGCTTTTCTAAGAGATGTCCTCTGCAGTCGTATGTGCAGTTATAGATCATCGACTACTTGACAAATACAACATCGTAAGCTATTGACTTCACACCACAAATTTATCGATGTGACAAGAAATAATCTAAGGAAGAGAGATTTCATTTGATGACATAGCCTTGCAAAGAAAAAGATCGTCCACGTAACACACATTTCTGGGAGATGTCGCTAGTGCAGAAACAAAAGGTAGCTTTCGACTAAGTCACATGGGGCATAAATAATTCTGGTTAAATGGGAGTTCATTGACTAATTGGCTTGAAGAAGCGTTTTCTTTCTGAACTGATGGATAAGACTAGATGTAAGGTATTATCTAAAATTTTACAATGCTAGATTCCCACGGCAGAACATTCAACGGACGAGAACCACAGTTCAATAAATTAGTCGGCTGCATGCTATTGCTAGTAGAATCTCCTAAAGTACATCAAGAAAGCAGTAGTTAACTTTAGCACTAAATTTTCTAAAATCCAACCGAACACAAGCGCACTAAAAATAACTGAATCATTCGTGCAAAGAAACAAAGTGGCATGAAAAACTCTTAGAGAAAACAGAGTGATTTGGCAGTTCGAGAAAGAAATTCTCCAAGAAACAGAGGAGACCAGTTCTGAAATGGCCTTTAAACCAAGAAAAAACTGAAAGGAAGAAACAATTCGATAGTTATTTTGTTTAGACGCGTTATTATGGGTTCGCATGTGCACGTACCCGTGCGTGGATGAACTCCTCGATGCGGCCGTTGGGGAAGCGGCCGAGGAGGCGGGGGCCCTGGCCGTGGCGGGACATGCACTCGAAGGTGCGCAGCTCGTCGTCGCGGTCGAAGAAGAGGTCGACGCCGTCGCCGTAAATCCGCACGAGCACCTTCCTCACCTCCCTCTCCTTGAGCGCCCCCGCGCCCGCCTCGCCGCCGGCCGGGGCGGTGAGCCAGCGCACCTGGTACACCTCGTTGGTCATGGCGCCCTTGAGCGGCACCACCTCCAGCGCGCGGCAGTCCGCCACGTTCGGCCACGCCGCCGCCAGGTCGTGCAGGAGCCGCCGCGCCTCCTTGGGGATCCTCGCGGACTCCGCCGGCCTCTGGGCCTGGCTCTGGTTCTCGATCGCCACCATTCTCGCTAATCACGCCTTCTGCTCTCTTCTGGAGCGGAAATGGACAATCCGGCGCTTACGGTTGATCTTTCTGTTTCTTTTTCTGATTTGGGTATTCTTTCTTGTTCTTGGTGAAGCGAGATTGGATATAAAGAACTAGGCAAAGCGTTGCAGCTGCAAGTAACAGGGAGGGAGGTTTTGCTCTGTCCGGCGTGTTTTGGGATGGTTTATGTGGTTCGGCCGCGCATAAATAGAGGAGAGTCTGTTGCCGGGGGTTTTCCAGATGCCCCCTCCATGGTTTCTGTCCGTTCTATGTGAGGACATATCCTGGTTACCACAACGCGTTGAGTCGTTGTTTTCCTTTTTCTTTTCTTTTTCTGGAAAAACGTATGATATATTTATCAACGGTCAAGGTTGTATACAAAGAACACTAGAATTGAAAGTTACATTTAGGTCCATAGAGCACTTGACGATGGCTATAAACAATGAAGCAAGCCGAAGGCGTGCCGCCGTCATCACCCATCATTCACCGGAGCCGGCTAAACCAACAAACACAGTCGAGAAGTCGTCATGCTAAGTCCCTACAGGACCAGCGCACAAAAACAACAACAGCCGCCGATGAAAAGAACCCGCAGACACACAAACACCGACAAACGAAGACCGGATCTACGTGGATCCACCGAAGACAAACAACGACCGTATCCCCCAAGATCCGACGGAGACAACCTCCACGCGCCCTCCGACAACGCTGAAATCACCACGGGGAAGGTGGCTAGGCGGAGAGAACCTTATTCTTGCTTGGTAGGGAAGGTTTCGTGAGGTCAAACAAAATGGACAAAATCATACTCTCCTCCGTAGTTTCATAATATAAAACATAGTTTGACCCTATAAAATTGTAACCGTAAATCTCACATACAATTTTTAGGTAACGGTTACAATACAAAAGGTACTTTTAAATATGAATCCAATGGTGTATATTTGTGTAACAGAAATCACATATTATTTCACTAATTGTTGGTCAAAGTATTTTTGAAAGCCAAACTACGCTTTATATTTTGGAACGAAGGTAGTATGACTTCTTATCTACTTTGAGATTGCAGATACGCCAAAGTAGTAGAAAGAAACATACATAGGCTTTGCGAGTATAATTGAACTCCTATCAACCACACATGTGTAAAGTTGTCGGAATCTCAATTTTATCAAACGATTCTACAATCTTAGAATCTAAGCACACATGGAAAGTTGGTAGAATCTCAATTCTATCATAGGATGATGTGTTTTTGACAATCCAAATTGATTGGATTGGCTCTACATTATTGTCAGTACAATATATGATTTTATGATTCTAGGAAATTACTGCCAGTATATTAATGGGTTAATTTCATAAATGCCACTCGAATTCTAGCGACTCTGAGAAACGCCACTGCAATTTCCAGTGGCATTTTTCAAAGTCTGCAGTGGCGTTTTTTGAAGTTTGCAAAATTTGTAGTGGTATTTTTAAAGTTTGAAAATTGCAGTGGCGTTTCTCGTAATCACCAGAATTCAAGTGGCATTTATCCAATTAACCCATAATATGTGATTTTATGATTCTGGCAACTACCGTGAGACTATCAATCTTATATGCAAAGTAAAAAAGAATTCTTATATTAATAAAGTTTGACCAGCCTTGTACAAGAGTAAGTTCTATCTTACTTTATAAAGTTTGACTAGCCTTGTATTAATAATTATAAACATTTACAGTAGTAAAGATATAGAATATGAAAAATAGTTCCATGATTCATATAACGATATTGATTTGGTATTGTGGTTGTCCATTTTTTCACACATATATATATATATATATATATATATATATATATATATATATATATATATATATATATATATATATATATATTTGGTCAAATTTTATGAAGTTTGATTTATGATAAATTGTATATGCAGAGTAAAAAAGAAATGAAAGGAGTGCTACGACTACCGGGAAGTCAACTCCAACATTTAACATTGGCAAGTGAAGCAAAATGAAGCAGATTTTTTCTCTGATGAAGTATTTCTCAATATGAGTACAATTTTTACTCTCTTCAATTTGCCAAGTACTCCAACAATCAACATATGCCCACACACCAAGGGACGACTTTACGGCATCCAGCTATGCCGCGGAACTTAGGTGGTGTTTGGTTCTCTAGTCCTAGGACTTTTTCTAGTCCTAATTAAAAAGTCTCTAATCCCTAAAAAGTCCTTCTATGTTTGTTTTTAGAGACTAAAAAGTCCCTAGTCCCTTTCTAGAGGTTATTAAATGACCATGTTGCCCCTAGTATATAGAAAAATAACAATCAAACAACACCATAGGATGGCGGGCCAATGGATGCATGGAGGGGCATTATTGGAAAAGTCCCAAAAAGTCCCAAAAAGACTCTCCTTGAGAGTCTTCTTCATTTAGTCCCAAATGCCTAGTGTCCCTAAAAAGTCCCTCCCGTTTGGTAAAAAAATCTCTAAAAGGGACTTTTTCTAATCCCTACACAAAAAAGTCCCTGAAAACAAACACCCCCTTACATTCTTGCACCGTAAACAAGGTCTTAATGTTAATTTTTACAGTGGCACATGCGGGTGTGAGATTGGAGGTCTCATTGTATTTATTTATTTTGTGGGGGGAGAGATTGGACGTCTCATGTAGCAAATGTAGTATACTTCCTCTGTCTCAAAACAAGAAACGTTTTTTTGACACTATACGAATACATCTAAGGAGATGGAGAACACGTGGTGAGAAATACGCGCTATTTCGTGCTTGAGAACGGGTGACACACAGTTGCCATCGTTTTCTTACCGGGGCGAGCAAGCTCTCTCTAAATACACAGTAAAGGCGTGTTTGGTTGCAGTAGTGAATAGTAGCTACATTCTATACACATCTCAATCCAGTTTGGTTGAGCAAAAACAGCCCCAAATGCGTCATCTACAAGTTGTTTGGTTGCCTGCACATAGGGTCTCTGCATTAGATAATACGCAAGTGTACTTTGTTTGATTGCCTGCATTGGCCCAAGCGGCACATGAACACGGTATTTGGTTACATGCATGAGGTATGATTAAGAGCTAGCACTTGCACTTAGCACACAAGGTTAAGAGCTAGCAGAGGGAGGGGGAGAAGAAATGCAGTGTGCGCCGGACAATGGCTACTACGGTGGATAGTGGCCGTGGTGCCGTGTCCGACATGACGAGCATGAAGTCGTGGACGAGCAACCCCGTCGGCGGCACGGCGGGCGACACCATTGGCAAACTAATTGCGGTGCTCACACAAACAGCCGAAGAGGAGAAAAATGCAGTGCTCGCGCCATGGTATTGTCAGTGCAGTGGACGAGATAGGAGGCTGATATGATCGATGCCAGAAACAACTCCAGTGTAGTAGGGCGAGAGAGAGAGAGAGGAGGCTAAGATGATCGACCCCGTCGGCGGCGTGGTGAACTGCAGTGTGCATGGAGGCGAGGACACAACAAAGCAGTGTGCGTGCCATTGCAGTGTCAGTGCAGTAGGAGGACGACAGAGAGTAGGCCGAGATGAACAACACCGAAAACGACTCTAGTGTAGTAGGATGTGGGTAAGGAGATCAAGAAGAATGGCGTCGGCGTCGAGAGGGACGAATAGGAGGGCTCTGAGCAGAGGACAGAGAAGCTCGACATGGCGGCTGCAATGCAGTAGGATGTTGTTCAAAGAAAGATGAAGCTACGGTCGTCGAAACCAAAAATTTACAACACGAATGGTGTGCGGAACTGTGAGATTAGGCTGCTGGTCAAAGAAAATTTCAAACAATCAATCATGTGCGACGAATCTGACAAATTTCGTCCAAAATAGCTTCAAACGGGAAGACGAAATTAAAAATTTACAGCCGACGAAACTACGAACCGATCGCCTGAATGAAACCATAGCATCAAGGTGCATTTTTTGATGTAGAACTTACTCAAATCGAAATATCATTGTATAGATCGGAAGAGGATATGAAGAACATAATTAAAGGATGGTTAATGAAGATAAAAAAACACAGGTAGGCGCTTTGTCAAATCCACGTCACAGCATATCTGCCAATCTTATCGCATCCGCGCGCATGCAAGGGATGGCCCATGGCTGCCTCGCATTGACGTGCGTGTCCTGCGTGGTGCAACATTAATTTGCCTCTCGGTCAGCAACATTCGGACCGACCACAACAAGCACGCGCAGTCTCAGCTTGATTTCCACCACAAGCATGACTATTATTAAGGAGTTGTTTGGTTTTAGGACTAGCATTGCCATACTTTATCACATATTTTTGGCAAGCTTGCCTAAGATTAGTTCATTAAAATGAGAGCTACAAGTTGGCAAGACTAAAGAAATCTTGTCACACTTTTTGTGTGTATGCCATGTGAGGCACAAGTGTGGCTTGTCTAAGGTGTGACTTGAACCAAACATCCATGTTGGTCAAATTTACCTAATATTAATTGTGACAATCTTTGGCTAAGTTAATCACAAACCAAACAGTTTCTAAGACCGCGTGTAAACGAGGTGGCACTACCGTCAAGTTCAGTGAGATGTCCTGCCCCAGTATTTCACGCAGTGAGAAGCACGCGTGAGTGGCGCGTCAAATTTGGAGCGAGCTTTGCTGACCAGTTACTCGGATTGGCACGAACCGGTGGTACGTTTTCCTCGTGTTTGTCGGCATGGAACTGGATTAAGCCACGGTATCGATTTTATATTTTGCGGTGGATCGCATGGAGTACGTCCTCTAGTGCGGTGTGGAGACTTGGGAGCCACGTGTTTCAGGAAAAAGATCAGCGCGTGGCGAAATAAATAAGGCCAAAGTTCACGTCACAGGTCACACTACGGCCCAGCGCGGGCCGCAGTTGTCCGCGTCAACGGTCGAGCGTCTTCTTTATCTTGTCCTGCTATCCGAAACGAAACTAAACCAAGCAGGGTGTCCGTTGGTCCGGTTTGCAGATGGATTTCTCCCCGCCGATTGCTACGGAAAAGAAATCTGCTCCCTACGAAACACGAAACAC